GTCTTCCTTCACCTACTTTTCTGTTGTCTGTCCCCCAGGGAGAGGGTTATATGTAGATCCATGTAATCGGTTCCCCCTTTCTACCCCACCCTCCGTTCACCCTCCCAGTATTGCCACTCTCACCAGCTCACTTATTCTTATATTTGCAAAATGTTAAACTGCTTCACACAGCTATATAGTAATAATAACACATTGGTTAGTTTTACACACGAGTATGTACCAGAAAAGCTTTTTGCAAAGAAGGAAAGTTGTTTTTAAAAAAATCTTAACCCAAGTGGCATTTTGGAAACCAAATTTCTCTGACTTTACCTTCCCCTCCTGCCACAGGTGATTATGGGAGTGCTATTGAGACATTGGTAACTGCAATTTCCTTAATTAAACAATCCAAAGTATCTGCTGATGATCGCTGCAAAGTCCTTATTAGCTCTTTGCAAGATTGCCTTCATGGAATTGAGTCCAAGTCTTACGGTTCTGGATCAAGGTAAAACTTTTCTGTCTTATGTAGATTGAAACTTCCTAGTTTACAAATGAGAATTTGTGCTCGGGAGAACTAGGAATTTTTATTTTATTTTTTACTCTAAATCAATGTTGGATATATGTTTGAAACCCTTCTAGGCTTTCTATTTGCTCTTAAAAATATAATTGCCATCATTGAGCCATTTTGTAGTGCAATTCCTGCCAGTCATTTTAGTTTCATCTTGTTACTCCGCCCCTTGCTTACTGCTTTTCCAATTGTACATGCCTTCTTTCCTCGGACACATTGATTACTTCGCTGATTTTAAACTTGGCATTCCTTCTGCTGGGAGTCCCTTTCCTTAACTTATCCTTCATGCCCTAACTCAATCTAACTTCTTAGGAAGAGCTTTTCCCCTGGTTAGTTTGTCATCCTTGTTTATTTCATAGAAAGCTGTAATTTATTATACCTCCCCTGTTATTTCTAATGCCTGAATAGTCCCTGGAGGTGTGAATGCTCTGCTTCTAGGGTTTTTTTATTTGGCAGACATTTTGCTTGGTTTTGGCCTTACTGATCTGAAAATTGACATAATTTTAAAAGGAAAATCTTTAGTCTGCATGTGAGACTTAATATACTTTTAATTAGTTGTATAATTTTTGTCACCAAGAAAGGGAACATGTCTTAGGTGTATTCTCCAACTTTACAGGTATAACCTTTGTGATCCAGTGTGAGAACCATTGTGTCTGAACAGATTTGTCCTAGCTAGAGATGAGACACCATATCTTTAATAGTCTTTAACTTTTCAAAAGTAACCAATGTGAACTTGATAAGGAACTTTGTAACAAAAATGCTTGCTGAACCTAGCTTTCTGGTACAGAAATACAAGACTGAGACATTCTTATTTAAGCTACTATATATTTATTACTTCCTTACGAATCTAGCAGAATTCTAATCTTTTAACAAAAGTGTTCATGTGGGATTTATCACTAAATCATACTGTTTTATCTATTAGTAGACTGACGGACTTGACTAGATTAATGGAAAGTATCTTATAATTTTTAAGTCTGTGTTTAAGTCATGGTGAAAATAAAAGAAACTGATGAAACATTTCTCCTTATTAAGTACGATGCAGACAGTATTCTAGACCTAAAATTCTAATGGTGGTTTTGCTAGTTATTAGTGTTAATAGAGTCGTGTTCCTAGTAAACCATATTATTATTATATAAAAATGATATATGTGAGGGGGCTTCAAAAAGTTTGTGGGAAAATTCCATTATCTTTTCATTATCAATGAATTTTTTTGAAGCCCCCTTATATAGGGTGTAGGTAAAGAAGAATTTTCATTCTGTTATATGTTGAGATTTTAAGCTTAATGTCTATGGAATGAAAACCTGTGTTCTAATCAGTGTTTCCTGAAGTGGGTACTAAAGCAGATACTTACACTTTATTCTGAGTGATAATAGCTTACAAGTTTTTTTTTTTCTCCTGGAAAAAACGTGGTAGCCCAACAAGTTTCGGAACCTATGCTGTTAACTGTTATTTGGCTTGAAATATAAGTGCTTTGAAATTTTCTCTTGGTCTTGCTATTTTTGTAGACGTTACATATTTTAGACAAATTTTTGTGGTAGGTAACATGATGTATTGCCATAATGTGTCTCACATTACATATTTTAGACAAATTCTTGTGGTAGGTAACATGTATTGCCATAATGTGTCTCATTACAAATTTTCTTATAATAAAGGAAATTCCTAGCTTATGATTATTGGTAGATTTTGAAAAGTTTTTGCTGCTTTAGGTTTTCATAAACACCAAACTATTTAATTCTCTTTTAAGCTGTAAAATTATGGAGAGGATTAATCCAGTAATTTCTTTTAGAAGACGTGAACGATCAAGAGAAAGGGACCATAGTAGATCACGAGAAAAGAGTCGGCGTCATAAATCCCGTAGTAGAGATCGTCATGACGATTATTATAGAGAGAGAAGCAGAGAGAGAGAGAGGCACCGGGATCGGGACCGGGACCGGGACCGAGAGAGGGACCGGGAGCGCGAGTACCGTCATCGTTAGAGAAGGTGGGTATTCCTCCGCCCTGTTGCATTTAGCTTGTGTGTTATAAACAGTAATTATAACTCTAAGGCTGTTGTTTATGCAGTATATACCTGCATTTTAAAGCATCCAACTACATGTTAAGAATTTAATCTTCCGGAAGCATCTGAGACAAATGACAGGTAAGTAATGGCAGGTAAAGATTTTAACCATCCTTGTTTATTGCTGAGCTATTTTACTTTTAGGTGCAGATTGCTAATAGTTGTTAAGAAGCTAAGAAAAAAAACAAAAAACGAGGATTTACTGTACTTCTAAAACCTTGAATTGGGATTTTTGTAATTAAAAATTTACATGGCAAATTTAAAATAAAGGAGCTCTTTAATTATGCCCTTGAATTTTCAAAATAAATTTATTCTTAACCTAATTTTATTTGTTGTCCCTGGAACTTGTAATGAAAATGTAACCAGGTATTTTATAATTTAGGAGGATGCTTTCTTAACTTTGAAAAAGCTTTTTTCCTTTTTTTTTTTTTTTTAAGAAAAGGCAATATTTTCCTGGCAACTTAGTTTTAAAGAACAGGGGGGTTCAAGTTGCAAAAAAGATGCAGAAGTAATTGAATTAAAATGGGCTCAGAGTAGTCATTATCTAAACATTTTAAATTGTATCAACCCATACACCCCAAATTAATAACTGAGAAATAATTTTCTTTGCTGTTTCATTCATAAATCATAATCATTGTCTTTTTCCCTGTATTTTGAAATTATTTCTTGTGTACATTTTTTCATAATGTGAAGAGGATTATCTGTTTAAATTTCATTTTCACGTGTAATTTTATTTTTCTATTTGTGAACAGCTTCATGTGAAAACTGGGAGGGAGGTGTTAACCACAGGTTTCTGCATGTGACACAAAGGTTATTCTGTAAACAAATGTTTCTGTATTTTTGTGGCCTATCCAAATTAAGTTAGGCTAAATAAAATCCTTTTAAGATCATTTTCAGTTAGTATTTAAATGATCATTGCCAGAATCAAAGGGTTTACCGAGTGTATGTAATTGGGACAGAAAAGCAATTTCTTAAACCATAACATTTATTTTAGCAGATGAAATTATCTGAATAATGCTATTTAGAAAATATGTAAGTTTGGGCTTTTCTGGACCACAAATAAATTATTACACTGTTAGCAGGTTTCAGGGGTTTTTTTTATATAAAAAGGATATTTTTAATACTTTTCCTTGCATTTAAAATATGCATCTCGAATATCAAATTTTAGTTCTAAACCAGTTCTCCATGTATTGTATTACAAAACATAAGTCTCAAAATATCAGGCAAACCATCTTTCACTTTAAAATCTAAGCTTATTGAAATTGAAATTATTTTAGTATGAGAAATAGATGTATTATGTAAATATAGTAGACATTACATTTTAAAGATGTAGCTTCACATCCCTCCCATCTGTCCTCCATCCTTCCCACTCCCAATTGATTGGGTTTGAGGGCCCCCCCCCTTTTTTTCCCTCTCTGTTTGACACTAGCCCGAGCTCCAAGAGCACTGAGGGCCAGCTTCAATGTTTCTTTTCCTCCTTTTAGGACCACCCAGACCAGGGTTTTGATCCAATGGGAAAGGGAACTGGAGGGTGGGTTTGAACCCTTCTAACGAAATAATTTCTCAGCTTCCATCAGCTGCCTAAGTGAATTATGGCTAGGTTGTAATTTGAGATGCTTGACTTAACAGCAGGCATTCCTTTTATAGTAAGGTTCTGCTCTACTCTCACACCCCAAATTTGAATTTTTATTTACACTTTGTAAGCTGTCCACAAGCTTCTAGTTAACTAAAGCATGATATTGAACCTTGCATACATTTTCAGTCATCTACAAAGTGCATGAGCACATCAGGGAGCCTCTGAACCAGTTTATCCCCAAAGTTAGGTACTGAGTTTTGTTTTGTTTTTTATTGGTTTTAGTAAAACTACCAGCTAATTAAACACTTTCTGAAAAGTCCAATGTTAATTTTAATATTTCTATTTTAATATTTCAATTAACCAGCATTGTAGTTCAATAATGGTGTTCACTTAACTATATATGTCATGGCTTGAGTTGCATTACATTCAGACATTATCTATGAATTCCAAACTTGCAAAATGTTGACTTTTTTTTCCTGATTCACTGATGTATCATACCAGAATTCCCATGTTTTGTTTGTACATTAATCAGAATTGAGTTGTAATATTGTTATCTGCCTTCATCTAAAAAAAAATTACATAATCATTTCTAGTGCAAAAGAGTCTGTTACACTCGAAAATTGTATCTTTGCTATACTAAGTATTGATTGTGGATGTAGATGTGAATAAGGATGGGGGGGGGACTGGGATCACATATTCAAATGAAAACTCTTAATTAACAAAGGACCACCTGCAAATTTTATCATAATTACAGTCTTTTTCTGACCTCTTTAGAAGTTTTAAAATATGAGGCCTTTCGAGCTTTCATGTAAATATTAAATGGACTAATTGGAATGAAAGCTAGAGTGAATGTCAGTTTTAAATCTGTATATAATAAAACAGTAATGTAATCTTATTATTAAAGTGATGATGAATGACCAAAAGGCACCCTCCCCCCTCACATTCAACTTGAAATTCAATGGTGTTGGCAAGTTGTTAATGTCTGTCCCATTTAAATTTTTTTGTGTTTGGATTGTTAGTAATGTTAATTGCATTCTCACTTTAAAAAAGTGTATTAGTTTTTCTGAAACCATCACTATTAAAGTTCAAATAGATACTATTTCCCTGAGAAAATAACAATATTGTAAATTTTCGTTTGTAAATACTTTGCTTTATAATCTGTAATTTCTGCCTCTATTCTCAGACCACTCTGAGCAAAATAAAAGTAGTTCAGTGCTGTAATGCTGTATATTTCCTACAGGAATGGTTTTACTTTCATAGCTGTTTTCTCTCAGTGTCCTCTTTTGGTGTTTGTTTGGAACAACAAAAGCACGTTTCTTTCAACAGTTCAGCTTTTGCTTTGTGTACCAGAAAGTTGTGAAAGAAAATAATTTTTTAATGTTCTATTCAGAGTCTCCTTGATTTCTGGGGCTTTGTATATTCTCAATTGATTATCCACTTCTTTGATAAAACTTTAAAACATTTTGTTTGGGGGTTTAGATTGTCTTCACTTTTTCTACTTTCTGCCTACGATACTTGATCTTGATTTTTATTGTTACAAGATTTAGGCTGCTTTGCATTTGTTATTCAGCCATGATACTGCTTATGTAGGCTTGCATTAATTTTGGGGTGCGTGTTACATGAAAAGTTCAAAAAAGCGTTTAAGTTGTTCTTTCTTACATACCATATCTGGATATTTCATCTCCTTTGGAACTAATATTTCTTTAAAGCTTATGTGAAAATTACCTTAACTACCAGATGGACTGATAGTAATTGTTAATAAGATTAAAATTTTATTTCTGCACCTGAGGTCACCTAAGACCTGCCTAATATTTCCCAACCCTGTTTTGTATTTCCTTAACGACTTCTTCTAGATATGCTAGCTCCGCATTGTGTAGTTCTAGTTTCCTTAACCTGTCTCTGTACACAGTTATGTAATTCAAGTGACAAGAGGGTAGGAAGTGATTCCTTTAGTGGATGTGTAGTGTTTTGCTCACTGTGGTTTAAGAATATTTCGTTTATAAGTAGTTAATGTTCCCTGTTTAAAATTTTATTTCAGTGCCAATGGGGTTCACCCTGCTCTCTCACCTCATCTCAGTGTGAAATTTACTACCATCGCTTTAGTTTGTAAATTTGGTGGCATTGAATAAACATTTAGTTACCGTTGCTTAAATAAAATCTCATTGCCAAAATGAGGCTAAAGGTTGCAATCTGTGCTATCCAACTTTAGTAATTTTTGTGATAGCATAATTTAATTATTGCAAGGAATTCTAAATTAAAAATGGCCTATTTTGAAAGGTCCATTTTGTGAATCTCTTGGGGCAAAGCTAATTTTTCTTTGTGATGAAGTATATTTCTAGTATAGTTAGTGGACTACCTAGAGTCAAGCAGCAATTATGTATGTATATGCTATACTGTAATAAAGTGCTGTAGTTAAAATGAGGTAAGTCTATGTCTAGAAGTAAAAGAGCTGAAGACATTAAACGATAATAAAAGGGATTTTTGTAAATCTCCACATAAACAAAATTGTTTGTGAAATAAAGCCGTTCCATGCAAGAAGGAATTGCATTCACTTGTATTTAGATAGTATTTATTTTGCCTATCACCATTCCCCTCATTAAGTGGAGAAATTTTCAGATAAGAAAAAATAAATTTTTTGTCATTAAATTGATTAAAGTGTATCTCATTACATAACCAAACTAAACTCCCTGTCATGTAGTCTATTCTGACACAGCAACACTCCATAGAACTGCCCTTATGGGTTTTTGAGATTGTAACTCTTAATGGGAGTGGAGACCCATGTCTTTCTAGTGGTTTTAAAGTGCTGAACTTGCAGTTAGCCGAGTGCGTAAACCGCTACACCACTAATTCTATTTATTAATAAGGAAACCTACAAGCCATATCAAGTACATGAGAGAGCTTCCAAAACCTGGAGGGAAAATTCTACAGTCTTTTAATTCCATCAACCTTTTGAAGTCCCCCATATATTTGAATTTTTACATGAAGATGAACTTAATCATGACTAGGAGAAACTCATAGTTTGAGTTGTTAATATTGATTTGGTCTTGCATTACATCAAAATGGAGAATTTCTCTCTTGGAGTTTTAGTCTTCAGGTTTACAGTTTTTATTAAAGGACTATAGATTCCATTTGTTGTCTTAGTTTTAATTGTTTATACGGGTCTTCCTTTTATAAATGAGAGCTAAAGGAAGTTAATTGTATGGCTTTGACAGCACAGATTTGACCAAATGGCAATTCTGAAAACATGGGCATTGAATGTATGTTCATTTTAAACTTCTTTCTGGTGTTTTAGACATTTAAGACTTCGCTGTGGTATTTGGTTATTGGAAATGGGATGTATTGCCTTCAAATTTGCTTCTGCTTGGGATTGTAAATTTTGTATTTCCAAATGGATAAATGTGAAGTGTTTAGAAATAGGTGTTTAAAAACTACTGGAATATTCTTTAGATTTGTTTGGTGAAAATTGGAGAATTTTTTTAAATAGAAAAGATTTATCTAAAAAAAAAAAAAGATCTATACCTAAGGAATAATCAAGCAAAAGATTAATCCATTCATCCTGGGTAACAATGGATATTATAATTTCATGAACAGAATTATCCATAGCAAAACAGATAAAATTTTCCATTGGTGCAATGGATGACAATAAAACTTGGCCCTATGTATTTTTTGAGAAAGGTTGGAAATTTTCCCTTCATAATGACCTGGAATTTTCTTCTTTATTCCTGCTAGCATAACAAATTTTAAGATAAGAGATGATAGCAGTGTTTTCCAGTAAGGTTTCTTGAATTCCCAGTAGTCATTTTGTCAGATACAGACATGTACTTTGTTTAATACTTTTATCAGTTTGAAGAAGTACAAGCAGCAAAACATTTGAAAGCTGCCATTTTAGTTTTTAAAATATTAGTAGCTTCCTTATAATATGAGGGTAACGTATTGTAAGAGCTGGGCAACATGGTTCAAGTATCTCTGAAAACTACACAGGCACCCCAAAACTAAGAGAGAAATTCAGGATTCTGATAGCCAGTTATCAAATTTAGGGCTTTTTGAGAATTGAGAATGCATATGGGTACTGGTGCTTATATATAGGCTAGATAGGAAAGGACATAAACTATGTGGCTTATAGTTGTGACAAATTACTCTTTATAGAATAGAAAATATTTTTAAATTCTTATGGTAAATTATCACTGAACATGTGCTATTTTGACACAAATTTATTAAAATGTTCTTGGAATTTGCATTTAAAGTCATCGATGTGTTTCAGTGATCTTTTATATCCAATTAATGGAATGTTTCAATTGTGAACCTCTTAATGAAATCTGCATATTTATATAGTCTTGAAATTTTAGTTTATCAAATATATTTTCTTTTGTATATTTTTCTTTCTGGACGTTTCAATGAGATTTATCACTGTAGATTCACATTTAGCTTGTTCTTGGTGAGTTTTTATACTCTAGGCACTTTGAGATAGGTGGAGTTGAGTAAAATTAAGTGTTTTGAAATGTGTATTATATTTAAAGATTTGTATGTGGATGTCATTTATCTAAATACCCAAACTTAGCTACCCATTTTCGATTTTACTTACAAATTTTGTACCTTGGAGCAACATTTGATTTATTATTGGAGAAGTTCCTGTATGGTGTGAGATAAATGCAACTAATTTGTAAAATAACTTACTACATTTCACATTTATTTCAACATTTAATTGTTCAGCTTTAATATAGAATTTATATGTGGGTGAATGAAAATTATTTACATTAAAGCCATCCGAGCATATTTCCATTAATTTTGTCGTGTGCAGCACTCTAGAAAATGACTTATAAACGTTTCCATCATCACAGAAGCAGTAGCTGTTTTTTCATTTCTTGCTTTAGTCACTAAATTGATAAGGCAATCATCTCTAAGAAAAGTGATTCCTCAATGCCTCAGTTATAATCAAAGCACCAGATAAATTGGGAGCATTTCTCCTCTACAAAGGCAGCTACTGTTTCAGATAATCCTTATTTTGTGTTAGAATACATAAGTGAAGTAGATGCACGACTTGTGTATGTATGTATGTATGTATGTATAGTTAAGCCAGCGTTTTTCTGTGTATTCTGGGGAATAGCAAAATCTACATCACAAATTTTGACACATTACAGCTGAAGGAAGAGGAACACCTTCCAAGACAAAACAGTCTTCATGGGGGAAATGACGCTTGTCCAGCAGTTTGCTTCTTGTGATTGAACTGACCCTGTAAGGATTCATGGATAAAATGAACAGGAATAGATCTGAATAAAGCAAATCTGCATAATGGTAACCAGTAGCTCTACTTTTACTTTATATGTTGCTTAACTGTTTTATTTGAAGGAAACCTGTGTGATTTAAAAAGTTAAAGCTTTTGCAACTTTATTACTGGTTATATACATTTGGCCATTATAATGTGCAAGCAATTGGAAACAAAGTCAAGTAAATGCTTGTTTTTATAGTAGTTTGTTCTTGTTAAAAAATGTTCATATGATAATGTCTGTAAACAGCACCACTTTGATTACACTAGATGTAGTGTTGTAATAAACTGTTTAATGGGGCTGATGTGTAAAGCTGTTCAAGTTATTTGATGTTTACACCTCAGGGAAAGTCTTGTGTTCAGCAATATCTAAAGATAATGTTAATATGACAACATTTATATTGTCCTTTAAAAAGCATTGCAATAGCGTTTTTTGGATATGCATCAATCTAATCTTGCGTTCAGTGAATTAAACATACTAATTAAGTGTCTTTTGCCCTTGATTTTGATATTAGAATAGGTGATTCCATGGATATTTAACATTTCTATATTCTGCTTTTCTAGCTATTTTTATCTAGCCTAGCTTGTGACTTTGCTGAATGGTATGTTCGCTTGTAAAAATAGAAATTTGATGGGTTAACAATTCAGTCAATGTGTTGGGGGTCAAAAGATTTGTGGTTTTAACATTGTAGCAAAAACCTGTATGTTAATTGCTACAGTCATGCAGCTTAATGGAAACACAGATGTATGAAATACTGAATTGTAAACTGGTAGTATATTTTGCTTTGATAGTTCTGTTTTGATGCTGCAGTTAATTGCTGTTTTCTAGATGATGCTTATGGTTTAACCCTTAAACCATAGGCAATATAATAACAGCTGTGCAGCGGTTAATAAGGCTAAAGAGAGCCTGAGTATGATTTTCCAGCAGCTACAGATTTCTGAAGGGTGTCATGTTTATTAATATTGGGTTGAATACTCTTGTATTTGTAATGGGAGGTCATAGGAGCACTGTAGCTCCACAGTTTATAAGGAATTTTGTGTATATTCATGTGATTTGTTTGATTCATGCTAGTGTTTTTTAAAATATTTTTTTCAAACTCATAGGTTCATATTAAGAGCACCCAATAGCATGTGTTCTTAATTGCAAAATTAACAGTATCAGCTTAATTAAGCATTTTTATAGGAAGGTCCTTTATTCTTTTTGAAGATCAGGTTGAGTGATCTTCTGATAACACACATTGGTTTTGAATGAGTAGCCAAATTTTTAGTGCTTAAAAGTACCCCTGAATTGTAAGATGCATCTGTATAGAAGAAGCTTGTCAGCTATTTGCACCACAGCCCTTAATCTCATCCTGTCTACTTCCAAACAAACGGCTTCTCACAAAGAGAACACTGCTTTGAACTGCCCATATTATTGTCGGTTTCATTTTAAAACATTTTGTGATTGGAATATATGTGCATGGGATCATTGGTATTTATTAGAACTATTGCTCTCAAGTGATTTTCTTTAAGTATTTTGTTGACAATTCAATTTCCCCTCCCCCCCCTTTTAAACATTTTTGAGAGTTGTGATTGATTTTGTGTATAAGTGTTGATCGTTTTTGGCATTTCTTAGCTTAAAAATGTAATGGGAGGAAGTATGGATATACAACAAGGGAAATTAGTTAATAATTAACAGGTAAGTAAAATGTCCATTATAGTAAACTTTTCTCCGAGCAGTTTTAAGGTGGAATAACAAAAATCTAACTGCACTTGAACTTGAAATGAAAACTGGAAGTTTTTGTACTAAGTCCTTCATTTACCTTTTACTTTTTCATTTGTATCAGTGCAACCTTTTAATTGCTCATCCTCTGACACTCTTCCCCACTTGGTGGTTCTCATTCCATCACTTTTGGTGCAGATAGTGTGAGGAATTAGAATGGTTCCTAATGTTTTCAGAAAGAAAGAACTGGGTTTAACCAAGTAGTTTTGCCAAGGCTTTCTCTCCTTGATTAACTGATGAATGTATAGCAGTAAAGATGAAAATTGTAAGCCTTTTTGGGGAAAAAAATTTTGCATAACCCTTCCATTGTTTATGGGCTGGTGTTATATGAAAACTCATTTTTGTTGATGTGTAAAAACAATCCAAAGAGATACATTCTTACATAAACACCAAAAAATTAAGTCTTAAAGACCTTTTAATTGAAAATAATTTATCAGGGATGAAAACGAATTGTAAATCATAGCACACTGAGTTAGGTGTGTAAGACACATGCCTTTCAACCAGTAAAATTCTGAATGATTATTGCTTCTGAAGCAGTGCTGTAGATTATAAATTGCTGCTTTTGGTTAAAGGAAGTATATTGTGGAAAAGATATTCCAGTGTAAGTTTGAAAGTCCTTCTTTATTTTCCATTTTCATAAGCAAGATTTGATGTAAGTTGCCACGGCTATTGATCATAGTTTACCCCATGTGGTGACCCTTCTACCTAGAAAGTTTTTAAGCAGTTAATTGCATTTTCAGAGACCCTCAAAGAACTTATTTGGATTGTATCTTAAGATTTATTTTTATTTAATTCTCCTATGGAGAATACTACTTTTTTTAAAAAATAGTTTAAGGTCAGTTTTAAACATGGAGGTTTTAATGAATGTTGTATACTATTTTGTAGTAAAGGAGGTAAATTGTTGAAAGGGCAAAGACTTTCTCTTTCCCTTGTGTATTTAAATGTGCCAGTAACCTAAATACATACTGTTTTATACAATGATATGCTACTACTAGACTTTTTTGTTGGAGTGTTCTTAATGTTTTGGTTTTTTTATACCTCAATGATCATTGCATTTTCTGTATTTTCTGATGGCTCCAATTTGTGTTTAAGCGTCAGCTTACGTTCTTCTAAGAGGTTGTCTATTTTCTCATTCTTTACTGAGATTCTCTCTGTTTTACACTAAACTGCTTTTCAAATTCTATTCATTAAGTTCATTTGCATCCCACAGCCCTCTGTTGTGAATGTTTCTTCCAGTTGTATGTACCTCTGCACGCTTATCCATTGTACATATTAGATATTTTTTGTGCTAAAATATATTAAGTGGGATTTTTGTAGCAAATCATTCTACGTTTCTGATCTTTTACAGTGGTTGTGTTGTTGTTTTTTTAATTATGCCGTTTAAACACTGGTTTATTTGTTTTTTAGCAACTTGACTCTGAGAAGCCTTAGACTAATTTTCTTATAAATACTCAACCAAAAATTATAAATTTATTAAGATGTGGCCTTACTTATGGCATTCCTTGTGTTTGTAATATGAGATTTTCTTATTTTGAGAAACCTAAAGATTCAGGATTAAAGTTTTTATTATAAGTTAAATAAGAAAATGTATTGATGTCTAGGCTTCTGGGAGGAAGGTCTTTTACTCTTCTTTCTTGACATTAGAAAGAAGCAATATGAATTTTTATGAATATTAAAAATATTCAGGCAATTATATCTTACTCAGATTGGTTTAGGTTTGTCTTAATGTTATTTAAATTTTCAGGTGGTTAGCATTCACTGGGTATGCAGCTACTATGGTTTTTGTTGGGGACATACAAATACTTAGCTGTAAATATACTTTAGTTTCATAAAGACTTCCTGCTCTATCAATTAACATTGTGATGGGAGTCCTAAAATTAGCATTTAATTGAAGTCACATAAATTTTGAAATGGTAATTACAGATAGTAAATACTACCAAGAGTTCTTCATGTGGGAGTATCCTACAACTCCACCATGGGTGTAAATGTTTTACATTAATTTCATAATTGGGCAGACCCTGCAGTTAGTAAAACATTTCATTTTAAAGGTGTTCTTTTTGCCACGGTGTTACTGCGTAACACTTCTCAGCGTTCTGTAAGTTATTTTAAAATACAATGGTAAATTCACATTTATTTTTTTACTTTGAAAATTGTAGTACTCAGGTGGTATTTAATGGGAAAGGATCCTTTTTGGGTAAATCATAATGTATTCTAAGGAATGCTCTATAACATTAATGACTTTCGCCTTAAAAAAGGTCTATTCTTATTCACTCATTAGTTCTTCGTCCCATGATATTTTAGTAGAGTAGTTTACAACTCTGTACAGCCTTACAAAATTGTTACACAATTTTAAACGGAAAGCCCTTAACTACAACAAAAAAATGTACATCACATCACCAGTATCCATGAATTATTACGAATCAGTTTATAATAATTTGTCTGATACCAGAAGGCCAAAGAAAGTCTTAGAATTTTAGCTGTTCAAATGATGGTGACTTCACAGTAAGATTTCTGTGCAAAGGTAAGGTGATGTTTGATCAAATAGGCGTCTATTTGGATGTCTGGGAACTAGACTTCCTTCCATAGCTTCTAAAAAAGCTCATTCCATTTATTAAATTACTTGTAATTGCAGTTTTTGTGTTTACTGTTTATTTTCTGTCTTTTCTTTCTTTAGCATTTAGGTGACTGTTCAGCAGTTTGCTATATGGCCAATGTTGGTCTTAAACTGCACTAGTAACAAGCATGGTATTTATCTTGTATTGAAAAATAAAGTACAGTTTTGATAATATTTTGCAGTTTGTCCTTATTTTGTTTGATTTGTAGTTTGGTGACTTCTGAGTTTGAATAATTAATATTTTTAGTTATGTATCATATGTCTTCATAGGAGGCTGAATTAAACGTTTTAAGTCAACTTCTCGTGAAGTGTGAACATTTGGGTGGACTAGAGAATTAGAATAAGAAAAACTTATTTCTAGAATGCTTTGCTATGATTAAATGCAGAAAAAATTTGCTGATCTTAGAGCATTGACCTCCCTAGACTCAAGTAAAATATTTTTCTAGGGTGCAAGCAAAGTATTTTTAACAGTAACAAATTATATTCAGGTCTCAACATCTTATCTGCAAACTTCAGAAAAAACCATAGGAGAAATCTTGGTGCTGGGACCACTTCCAATTCCCCCATTAAGATGGTTTTGGTATTTTAAAGAGGTTTGTATTCGTTGATCTCCACTTGCCTGGAATAAGTTAGGACCCCCGTAGAAGGAGAAAGCATTTGCATTTCACTGGAAGAAAAGATTAGGAACACCTTTTTAACCAAAGGTCATTGGAGTTAGTGACTTAATTTAATGAGCGTGGCCTGAGCCCCCCAAATGGTTTATAAACAAGATTTTTCTATTTTCTCACTTTTATTTACTGACCACAGCCATGAAACAAGAAATGTTCGACATAGTTTCCAGTGTCATACGTTATTACATGTATAAACTCACTGCCATCCAGTTAATGCTGATTCATGGCATCACTTCAAGGTAGGGAGTAACTGCCCTGTGGGTTTTTCAAGACTAAGGGGAGTAGAAAGCCCTACCGTTCTCCAAAGAAGCATACTGGTTTTGTGTTGACCTTGGGAATCACAACCCAGTGTGAAACCACTATATACACACACGTAAGTACTTTAACAGAATTTTTTAAATAGGAAAGTTGAATATAGCATCTAATTCCCAGTTAACAGGCTTTTCATGAAGGAATGGAAATTTGGTGAGGGGCAGGGAAGTACTTGGGCAAAGAGGCTTGCCAAAAGGCTTTTGGGCAAGAGGCAGCTTCAAGGCCATTCAAAAATTCCTTTATCTTCTGGTTGTATTTTTCTAGAAACCTATTTAAAGCAGAGACAAATACAGCCTGTAACTAGGGCTCAAGAAGGGTAGGCCAGGACCGACTCTAGGCCTTGAACTTCACATTAAAGATGGTCTTAAGAGCTATTATAAATGTGAAGTATCACAATTCGATTGGAATTTCAAAAGGCTTCTCTTGCAGGCTAAACTGGGAAAGGTTCAGAGTCTAGTCGGTTTTCACTAGCAGAATGATGAGTAGGGGCTGCAGCATGCTTTCTAGTTCTTTTTGTTAAGTTGAAGATCTGGAGATGTTTATTTGGTCCACAGGGTGGCAGGCAGCAGGTTCCTACAGGGCCAGTTCCCCATCCTCCTGTCCCCTGGCTGCAGCCGCATACCTCATTTCCCTTTGCTGCAGCTGGCCCTGCTTGGGCTCCTGCTCCTGCTCAAACTCATTGGTGGGTCTCACAAGTTTGAGGTACGTGCAGGAGTCCCAGTCCTGCTGCTTGTGCTTGCAAACCAGGATGTTGGGAAAGCTGTTGGACTTGCACTTGAGCCAGCCGCATGAGGTAGTGGGCTCGGTGGTACTGCAGCAGCAGCAGCAGCTGGGCGTCCCACCTGCTGTTGTGTGGCCACCTTCTCGCGCACCTTGTGCCTAGGGAAGTAGTTTTGCAGGAAGTTGGGCATCCGTAGCGGGTCAGGTGGGCCCCCATGGTTCCTGCTGCAGACTAGGTTTCGCTCCTACCCATAAGCACATTCTTGTTTTTGTGACTTAGTAACCCTGTGTAGAACAGAACACTGCTCAGTGCTGCAGCCTTTGTGTCCATTACTCTGAGGAGCTTCCTCTTTGTCATTTTGTCGCTACCAATTATGATGTCATTTTCAGACTGGTTCCTGGGACATGCCCAAAATTACTTGCAATCCTTGATTTTGGCAGTATTTCCAAATTTGTTCTCACCACAGTCCATGTGTCTGTATAATCACTGCTCCCTCCACCATCAGTGATTTGGAGCTTTGAATCTGGGCTGTGGACATTTAAGAATATATTGCATTAGCAACTCTATTTCCCTAAGTATTGACCACCTTACTCTTCATAATCCAAAGAAATTCACTGCCATCGAGTCAATTCTGACTAAGCAACCCTATTGAACAGGGTGACTGTTAGTGGGAGTAGATAGGCCTACCTTTCCCATTCTGCATAATATTGGCTAGTTATTTCTGGCCATAGCAATGTTGCTTTAAGAAAGATTTCAAAATGGATCAGGAGGTGCCTGCTGATGAGAAAGTGTAGGAAATCCTCAGACTGCCAGGATGGCCTCCAGGACCAGTTACATCAGGTGAAAGGTCAAAATTTAGAGATCTAATTGAGCCATTAAAATTCACGTTACATACACATTCACACACCCACATTTGTTCTGAGAAAGCACCTACCTATAAACTATACCAAAGCCAACTTCACTGCGATAAAGTTGTCCTGACTTAGCAACCCTGTAGGACAGCTTAGAACTGCCCCTGCGTTTCTCAGACTACATGAGTAGAAAGCCCCATCTTTCTCCCAAGGAACCTTGGGGATAGCAACCAACACATAACCACTGTGCCACCAGGACTACTGTAAACGCAGTTTTGTAAACTCTGGTTAGGTTTTCCTTAAGTGAGCTGAGTAAATGGACATGGGGAGGCAGGTGAGTGGCATGACCCCTGTTTTCTCAACAGTGTTAAGGTCCCTGAACCCCACCCATGAGCAGTTCTAGTTTGCTATAGGGTTCACTGAGTCAACATCAACTCGGGGGCAGTGAGATTGAGGTATAGAACAGTGATGCTGCCTCAAACTCAAGACTTCATATCATTCCACGTATCTCCACCCCATGGTTGTTTTCTCCTCTAGATTGTTTATCCAGACTATGTTACACAGGTAGACCTGCAGAGATAATAAGCACAAAAAACAAGACAGCAAAACAGCAACAAGAAAACAAAAGAAAAGCTTATAAATAGTTCAAGGTCTACTGACCTTTAGGAGTGTTTTCTGGTCTGATGGGGTGGCACACCCTGGCCCAAAGTCTATTTTTGGCATTCCCTTGGGACTTCCTGGCATTGTTACCCTTGCTGTTCTGTTGCATGCCCTTATCATTTTGCCCCACTATGGTGGGGTCAGATCTGGTACAATTTTCCCACACTGCCTCCAGTGTTGTCCCTCAAAGTACTATGGGTCAGGGATGTAGTGTCTCATGTTTGGGCCGGCCCTATGGTCCAATTTGCATTGGCTGTTCTGAGCAGGAATATCATCCTCCAGGCTTGGAGGGCCAAGATGTGTTCCACTCTCCTTCCCTTGTTCCTGTGTGCTCTGATCAGATGTGTCGCGCTCCCTGAGCTGTAGCTTCAGTGCTGTCCTCTGAAGTGAATTATTCTGGGGGGAGGGAGAGTATCCATGCAGTTGGGATTGGGGCTGGCCCTTCAGACCTCTCTATTGGTTCCTTGCTTCATACCAGTATGTTGCATTCACATCTTGGTGCACCAGATTGAAGTCTGGTCCCTCTCCTGTGGAGATAGAAACATCTTCCCCTTGGGTGGGTTAGTGCCCTGTTCTCCTGCCTCCCCCACCACCCTCCTTTTTAGTTAGCCACTATCTGCATCCTTGAATTGGATCTGGTCCCTGCCATACTTCCTGGGCCTCACCCCAGGAATGCTTGTATACAGTAGCTTTTTCCCTATGCCCTTTTTGCATTTTTAAACTTAACCTCAGTGGACTCAAAGGTTGTACTTGACCTTTTGTGCTTGGCTTACCTCACTTAGCATAATTTCCTCCAGTTCTTCCCATGCGGAGATGTGCTTCATGCGTTCATCACTGCTTTTTAGGGATGTGTAGTACTCCATTGTATGTATGTACCACAGTTTTTTAATCCATTCATCTGTTGATAGACATCTGGGTTGTTTCCAGCTCTTGGAATTGTGAACTGTGCCACAGTGAACATTGGAGCACAGATTATCTGGCTGTGGTTTGTTTCTTGCCTCTTCTGGGTATATGCCCAGTAGGGGGATTGCTGGGTGGTATGGTAGCTCAATTTCCATCTGTTTGAGATATCGCCAAATTGGTTTCCATCGTGGTTGTACCACAGGTCCACCAGCAGTGGACGAGTGTTCCTATCTCACCACAGCCCCTCCAACACTTGTTGCTTTCTGATTTTTTGAATTGGGCAACCTTTGAGGGTGCTAGGTGGTATCTCCTAGTTGTTTTAACTTGCATTTCTCTTATGGCTAATGATCAGGAGCATTTTCTCATGTTAACAAAGGGAATTTTTTATGGAATCCTTGCCCCCCCACCTTATAAACGGTTTGAATTCCATTATATATCTAACATGCATCTCAAACTTTCCAGGGCTGAACTCATTGTCCGACATTTTCCCCCACCCCACCCCCTTCCTCAACCCAGTCTTTCCTAGTTCTAACCAAAATACTATTAGTTCACAACTTTGAAATTGGTCTTCACTCCTCTCTCACCTGCATTCATTTAACGCATAAGGAAATATATTGTCTGTGCCATCAGTAAATACCTAAAATCTGACAGCTTAATACTTCCACTGCTTTCAGCCTGACCCTGGCTACTACCATCCTGTGCCTGCATTATTGCGATAATTATTCATCAGCCTCTAGACCAGGGATTCTCAACCTTCCTAATGCCGCAACCCTTTCATATAGTTCCTTGTTGTGGTGGCCCCCACTCATCAGATTATTTTCGTTGCTATTTCATAACTAATTTTGCTACTGTTAGGAATCAGGCAACCGCTGTGAAAGGGTCATTCAACTCCCAAAGGGGTCGTGACCCACAGGGGAACCACAGCTCTATGCTTTCTGTCTTTTCCTCCAATCCCACTGCCATCAGGTCAATCAATTTTGACTCAATATTGACCCTGTGGTCTTGTCATTAGCACAATTTAAGAGTTCATGTCTCCTCGAAATTCTACACTCAGGG